TAAATGTACTTCAATGTTTAATGCATTTGGTAAAATGGCAAATCTCCTTTAAACTCCATTAACTCCCTTGGAAAAATCTTTAATATCAACAACTATAACGGAAAGTTGTTTCATTCATTTTTCTCTTTCAACCAAGCATCTACCTGTTCCTCTCTCTCTCCCTTCCTCTCTCTCCCCTCTCTCTCTCCCTTCCTCTCTCTCTCTTTTTTTTCTCTTGGCCTCTTTTCTCGCCAAAAATTATCTTTAGCCAAATTGGCTATTTTCTTCATCAAATTTAACAAACATTCTTATTATTTTTTTTTTAATTTCTTTCATAATTTCTTCTTTTTGTTTTTTTTCAATATAGTAATTAATTATAATTATGGTGTAATAATTCAAATATGGCAATAATTTTTGAAAATTATTAAGGTATTAAAGTAATGATGAGTAAGCTGTTTTCATAACATTTAATTATTATTAACAAATAATTTGAATTTGAATTGGACAAATATCCGATTTTTCAAATTAATGCAGCTACAGTAAGATTTTATTCACGATACGGATTATTACAGTACCATATTCAACACAGTAATGTTTAATAACAAAATAATTTTCGATATACAGTAAATTATGCATTTACTAAAAATGAATAATTTCATTTTATTGAAATATTGAAATTAAATGGTTTGGATCCAAATTAGGTCATGTGTATATTGTAACCAATATTATAGTAAATTATAAATTATATGAATAAAATATTTATTTTCTACTTCCATCAAATTTTTTCAGTTTCATTTAATGGTTGATTTTAATTTCAATTTTGATTTCCAGTGATTTCGATTTTAAAATTTTATTTAATAATTGATTTTTGATAATAATCACGTATAGGTAATTTGAAATAATGGCAAAATTAGGAATGGATTAACTATTTTTTTTTCGAAATTACCTGAATTTTACATTTGACTGAATTAATTTCAAAATACGGTTTTAATGGTAGTTTAAAAGGCATAATTATAGGTGTGGAATATTAATATTTATTATATTACATAAATTATTCGGACTGCTACATGTTACATTTTAGGTTTGTGTTCAAGGTATCATATTTTAGGTCAAGTGAAGAATATTGCTTTTAAAGTCAAGCATGAAATAATACGTATTTTAAAATGTTACATTTTAGGCCAAATATATGAAATGAGGCTTTTTTTTTCAGATCTATAGAATAGCCAAAAAGGTCAAGTTAAAAATGATTCTTACTTAAGGATATCATCAAAAATTATGCTAAAAGATTGTTGCAAAACATTAGGGAGCTATATGATTAGAGAGTAAATAGCCTAGTAGAAAAGAAAATGAAGAGAAAAGTTAGCAATGGAAAAAGTTTCTTGTCAAATTTCACAAATTTTTTTCCATTAAAAAAAGTTAATTTTTTTTGAAAAATATAAAGCGATAAATTGAGGAAAGAATATAGATATATATATTGATTATTGGTTTGATTCAATTAGGGAATTTTTCATTAAACTGACTAGATTACTTCATTAACTGTAGGAAAGGTTTAATTATTAGTCTCATGAGACCTGTGACCAGTCATTTCATTATAAGCATATGAATGATTGGATATGATTTTTGCAGCTAAATCCTTCTAGCAATAGAATAATTCTTATCATGAAATGATATAATCAATATTCGAAATCATTTTATCGTTTATTCACTTTTATTGTTAATCAATTTTCTTTTTTTTCATTTTCATTCCAATTTTTTTTCTTACTACTTATTATCATTTCTCTATCTT